TGCTGACGCTACAGTATCTAAGTGCCATCCTCTCGATGCTCCAGCAGACAGCTGCGTTCGACCCTCTTATGCGCATACTGGTGCAGATCTCGCTGCTTTGCACGGCGATGAGTCTGTTCTTTGGGAGTTTATACTCTGTGTCTTTCAAGGGCGCGAAGGCGGAAACTTGGGCTCAGGTGAAGAACTTGGTACCACGGTCAGCCACATGCTCAGTGTCGTCATCAGGAAAAGAGAACATCTACCGGCACGGTGTTGGCTGTCCCTGCTATTTGGCTGGGCTGGTGCGTCGACTCTCCTGTGTGATGCCGTATAATGGACTTTCGTACAGGTCGATAATCCTCTTCGTGACATGCGTGATAGTATTTGCTTTTCGCTCGACATCAGAAGCACACGATCCTCTCTCTAAAGACGCGGCGCGTGGACTGCGCATCGGGATGGGCATCTTGCTGGGGCTAGGGCTTGGCTGCTTCGTGTTTGTCATCCTCACATTGAGAAGCATCCACACAGGCAACAAACCACATGGACGTCTTCGCGTGGCTCCTACTAGAAGAAAGCCGGCCTCGATCGCAGCTCAAAGAGCTTCAACAGCAAAAAGCAGCCTGTTTCTGGAGCAAGCGTACCCAGGACAGGACGCGCATGCTCTTGACCGGGTTGCTGCACCTTTCGCTTTCCCTGTTGAGGAGATTGCGCCCACTCGGGTGCTCATGCTCGGCTCTCCATCTGACTCGGAAATGGGACCCCCGGAGCGGACCGTTCCTGGGGACCGCATGTGGGCTGCGAGAGATGTGCATGACGCCGATTGGATCAGCTTCACTGAGGTGTGTATCTCGCTCTTTCTCCAGGGCTCCGTGCTGGTTCTCAGATAGTTCTTACATGCAGGACGTCATCCGCGTCTGGTCAAACGAACAGCACAATCGTGAAGCGGCCGTGTCCGGCCTTCTTCACCACTGGAACCAGCGCTTCTTTGTTCCCCGGTCACTCGAGTCTGTGCTATGCCACGAGCAGCAGCTCGCTTCAGACACACATGCCATTGCGATCTACGTCGTGCACCGAAATCCCGACTCGGTCTTGGGGCCGCTTCCTCGACTGAATGAGTGGACGCATGCTGGGCTCACTGTGCATCGGTTCTTGGATGACGGGGATGATGCAGTGCGCTGTGAGACGGTGCGGATCACGCCGATGAATGGGTGGCAGCAAAGAATGGCCCGTGGGGACGTTCCTTCGAGCATCTACATGCCTGTGCAAGCGCAGCAGAATCCCCCAACGCTGGGGTCGCTTCTGTTCGAACACCGAGACAGTTGGACACCGGTTGGCACTGCCGATTGACGTAGTTACAGTGTGTGACCATGGTTTATGTGCAGTTCTGAATACAGAACTCGACCGAGAGATTGAACTGTGAGATGTGTTCATCCTTGAAGCTGAGTCCCGAGGAGTATAGGAAAGTGGGAGTTGATAATGACAGCACGCGCTTTGGAAGGGTCGGAGTTGAAACAGACTTTAACTTGCCCCACATTTCGGAATTTGAATTTGGCTGATCAGGCTTGGCTTGTGTGATTTGGCTTGTGCATCACTTTTGATGTCAACTACCATGGACCGCTGCAGATAGCTCTGTAGACCTTGATGGGCGCTCTTGGTTGTCGCGCTTCGTTGAGCACTGTCGCGCTTCTTTCTTGAACATTAATATTGCGCATCATGAAATTTGTCCGAATCGGAAGCAATTGCTCATTACTTACTGTATAATTACTTATCTTACTCAACGAGTACTACCGCCCGACCGTTCTTTCCACCACATTCCAGATACCTAGAAATACAGTGCATATACAGGAGCAAGTCTACAGGAAAATTAAGTCCTCATTCATCTTATATTTTCAGCAAAATTTTCCCTCAGACTCGAGCCAACTGCCTCACTGGCATATGCCAACGTTGTCAACAGCGACAGTCTGGCGCAAAAATGTCACTGTCAAGTTGAAACTTGCCAGCACCGCCTCTACAATCATCGGTCTGATGGGTTGCTGAGTCAATTAAAGACATGCATGTTCTCGGCTGTTCTCGGCCCCGACTACCCTTCTGCTATGTCGTCTCTCCCATCCGAGCTCATACGGACGATCGTCAACGAGCTTTCCGACGACCGTAAGTCTCTCAAGTCTTGCGCGCAAGTGGCATCGACCTTCTGTGCCCCTTGCCAACAGCATCTGTTCCGTAAGATATGGCTGCACGCGCACTACTCCGCAGCGCAGCGGGAGGAGCACCTCGACTCGACGACCGCGGCCGGCACAATCAAGCGTGCTCACGAGATTCTGGTGCTCGAGGCTCCGCACTTGATCAAGTACGTGCGCGACCTCACATTCGACATACCCGAATCGGCGGAAGAGGATGCACCGCTCGCAGAGATCCTGCGCTCGATGAGCGTCAGTTTACGGCGCTTGGTGATATCGGGACTAGGCGTGGGATGGGATGGTTTTTCGGAGAGCCTGAGCTCGTCACTGTTGTTGGTGCTGGGACAGTCGCCGGCGTTGAGGAGCATGCATCTGCTGGATATGCATGGTGTGCCGATTCAAACGATATATGCGGCCATGGTGCGTCTTACGGCGTTCTCGGCGCACCGCTGTACGTTTCGTGGCAAGGAAGATGAAGATAGGCAGCAGCCTGTGATGGATGCTCCGCTCGAACACCTGATTCTGAGCAAGGATCCGGGTCCCACATGGACTCTCTTCTTCTGTCCCGGCTCACCGAGACTGACTCAACTGAAGGCCCTCTATCTTCGGATGACACCTGATGCCGAGAGGTTCATTGCATCCGTTTCTAGCACGCTTACTTCGCTCGAACTCGATTGTGGAGGTACTAGTCTGAATGCGTGGTCACCAAGAATGCAGATCTGTCTAAATCATTAATAGATCTGTCATTCCCGATCATCCTACCCGATCTCCCCAAACTCACCGAGCTCAAGCTCCGCATCCTCTCCGGGTTTGTGAGACACATCCCATACACCCTGCTTCCCACCATCGCCCTGATCCCTCGGACCGTTTCGCTTACCACCGTCTTCTCTGTGACAACGCGGATGCTGGAGATCGGGTGGACAAGCGACGGCCGTGCAGCGGACACGCATGTAAACATCCAATCGATGACCTGCATTCTGCATTTCCGCGGTCAGAATGGTAGCGAACGCACTGGTTGGGACGGCCAGCGCTCGGAGACTTTTCGGGATTTTCAGCAGGTTTGACCGATACGTTACCAGAAGGGATGGATTTGGATTTTGAGAGAATGGATGGGGAGGGAGATTATATTGATAGGTTGCCTTGAATCTTTGCAGGTGGATGAGAAATCCAAATGCGGCGGACCAGACGTCATGGCTCGTCCACTCAAATATCTCAATTGCGATCAATCGCGGGTTTGCCAAATAGAATATTCCTCGCATATGCTGGCTGTTGTTCTGCAAGGGCCAACTCCTTTGGACTTTGTAAACCCGTGCTGAGCGCACGCTTTCCAGTAAATCTACAAACAGCCATAGTCTTACACGAGCATACCACGAAGATTGCGACCAACCCACCCACTTTTGTAATGCTCCCGGAATAGTCATCGTACGAATAAGCGGGGAAATTGTGCAACATGATGTGTACGTCTCCGCTGTGTGCTCCGATCGAAGCCTGCCGGTGCTACGGTGACAAAGGTTGTGCAACGGCATGCCCACACCTGGCAAATTAACCGCATGTTTGTCCAGACTTTTGGATGACGCCCGGAGCACAGCGGCAATGTGTCATTCGTGACACATGCACAAACAAAAAGAATCAGAGGGATATTTCGGGTCTCATGCACGTCCTCCAGCCGAATAAGTTGGTGCCTGCCACAGAGCGCAAATGAAATGGGCAGATGGCATCAGTTGCAGATGTCACGTGGCTCATTTGATGAGTTGGCACGCGGACCTCTTCCAAACATCACCAAAGATATTTAGGACTTAACCATGCGTCCTTGTCTAAAACCATCAAGGAGCCTACATGCACACGTCAGCAAAGATCCGAAAATGCACGGATACCAGCGAGACCATCTCGGCTTCTGCTGTCGGATGGTGATGTCGCCTTGGCAGCTGCAGCGAACAAGGGGACTGCCGAATTGGGAATCGTGGCATTTGGTGCGAGCAAATTGGCACACGAGGCTCGGGTGTTCGGGGAATGGGAGCACGCGTGGAGGTAAGCTTTGATTGCAGTGCTTATCTTCTCGAACAGATAATCGTGTCGGTGTTACGGCTGGGAACTGGGCATAACTGCGATGCAGTACCATCTGCTGAGCACCCACTGCTCGGTCTGCTGCAGCTGGATGCAAGATCGTTACACAGCATCTCTGTGCTGCGTCAGAATTTTCTCCGCGACGGGTAGAAATCATGATCTTTGATTCATCCCAAGTCGCGCGGGGGGCTCTCAACGAGGTCCTACTGTATCTTGATCTCGCATGCAGCTGCGGCCGTTTCCGAAGAATCTTATGCTCTCAGAGCGTAGGCTCTCACTCGGGGATTCTCTGGACCAGTCATGCTATCTATTTCCATGCTGCGACCCTGAGACAAGTGGAAACTTGTGCGCTCATCTCATTTCGCGTAGCGATCCGACATGAGCAATATCAGCCGACCGGTGTTATTAATGGGAATACTCACCGCTCCCGACATCTAGGCGTCAGCTATCACACCGATGTGAGTATTCTCCGAGGCAATCGATTATATGATGCATCGTAGATAATCTGCTGCACAAGACCTGCTGCGGTCATCATCAGTGCTGTTGAGCTCATTCTGGAATTTCATGCACCTCGAGGATCGCGGGCCTCATCCGATGTGCTGCAGTCGAGTGGATCCAATCCAAACTGGCAGATTTATACATGCCGCTGGCGGCTGTCCTGGTTCCGCGTCTTCCGAGTTCTACAAGTCGCATTCTTTTTTCCCTGGGTGAGTCTAAGACCAGAAACGTCCGATCCGTCATATTCATAGCTCCCCCATCATTAGCTCGACTTAATATAAGGAACAGTGCTATACATGAGATCATGGTTATGGGATCTATGAAATCAACGTACATGGAATATTCTCCCTAGGCCATTCAATTAGATTCATACAGCGCAGCTGAGAATCCGAGCGTTCCTGCGCTAGCCTCATTGCAAGGCACCCACTGTCCTGCACCCACAATCAACGCCCAAAAAATGGGTGCCGACTGACCCCGAGCCCGCGGAAGGGGCCTTACGCGGCGGAAAAGGCGGCGGAACTTTCGGCGAGAAGCGAGCGATCGATCAGACCCGTTGTCTCGGGACACAATAGCGTGGGAAACATGCCCTCTCAGGCTTTTCTCGAATCGTGATCCCTGCTTCGTGATGATGTCCGGAGCAACACGCGCCTTGCCCTTGTCTTTAGGCTTTCTTTGTTCTCGTCCTCGCTGGTATACCCTCATCCTCTGCCGACTCGCGTCTCGGGACTAGCATCGTGCTTTCGGGTAGACACCAGCGATATGCCGCCTGTGCGCCTGCGAGAGCCGAGGTTGCTGTATTCTTCGTTCTCGGCCGATGAAGGGAAGAAAGTCGGGGTTTTGGAGGATGCTGATGAGGTTGCTGTTGGGACCGAGGCCGGTGCGTGAACGAGCAACAATAGCTCATAGTATGTGCTCATATTAGCCTTTGCGCTCTTTGCTTCCTCCATTCCCTTGCCGAATGCGTGCACACCCACCAGACGCAGACGACGCAGACGACATGCCCCCACTCGTCGACGCGCCTGCCCTCCCTGACGCCGACTGGTCGCATGTGGCGGCCCAAGAATCGATGATGTCGTCCATCGATTTTAGCAGCGTCACCTTCGCCAACCGGACACACGGCCCATTTGCTTCTACCTCCGCAGCCGTTTCCACATCCCTCAATGGTTTGGACGACGGTCTTGTCGACCAGATCGACTTCGACACAGATTTGCCGCCCGTGAGCAAGGCCGCGGAGCGGCGTGCACCATCGTACATCCCCCGTCCACCCAACGCGTTTATCCTCTTCCGGTCGCATTTCATCCGGACCCAGAGTGTGCCCGAGCGTGTGGAGGGGAACCACAGCGTGCTCAGCAAGATCGTCGGTGGGTGTTTTCTCAAGTAGTTTTTACTTCTCTGCAGGGCTAAAAGCGTCGTGCAGGCAAGTATTGGAAAGCGCTACAGCCCGAAGAGCGGGCGCAGTGGGAGGACAGGGCACGTGCAGCCCAGGCCGAGCATCGGCGGCGGTATCCCGATTGGCGGTTCCGACCCGGAAACGTCAGCAAGAGCGTGCGTGTCTTGGTTGTGTCTTTTCATGTCGAAGCATATAACAAGGCCACAGACAACATTCGTCATGAATACTGGGCAGCCTCGTGGCCGGCGGAAAGGCCGTATCAAGGACGACGGGGGTGGAGAACCACCCCCACCTCCAGCGAATACTGCTTCAGATGAGGCTGCGGACGAGGATACCCTCGCGCCAAATGACGTAGCGGTGACGCTAGCGAATGATGAGCTAGAAGAGCGAGGACGCTCGAAGAAACGACGTGCTACGACCTCCGCCTCAGCCTCACCGACCGTCGTGCGACCAACAACAGGACCTATCACGCGATCTGGACGCACACGAGCGACAACTGTTACAATCACACCTCCCACAGTCAAGTCTCCCAAAAGCAAGAGCCGTGTAGCCGTAGTGAAGGGCAAGGGCAAGGGCAAGGCACGTGCCCTGAGTCAGGATGCGGCAGTAAAGACCCAGGAGGCCAGCGAGACTAAAGAAGAAAAAGACAAGAGAGATCGAGACAATGCTCGATGCGAGAAGATCGCCAATCTGCTAGTCGAGGGCAAGTCTGGGCCGGCGTTGGCAGCTGCTGTCGCTGCCTGGGATGCAGATCAGAGCCGTGTCGATCTTGAGCAGCATCATAAGCGCCGGCGCTCATCTTCGGCTGAAGGTCTAGTTGCTGTTCCCAAGCTGATCAGGCGTCCATCTTCCGGTGCATCGTCTGCCGAAGAGGATTTCCACATCACAACTCCGACGTACGACGAGTCGAAGTCGACCTTCTCGCCCTGGGGCCCGCCGTCGTCGCATATCCACAGCAGATGTCTCCGACGTCACCGTACAACCCCGTCCTCCCGTTCCTTCCGCATCAGTCCCCTGTGCCGGCTCAGGTTCAAGCCTATGCGCAACGAGCTTCCCCCCAGATGTCCCGCTGACTCAAATGTTCAAACGCTCCGAGTGCTCCGTGCCGCGGTTCGGGCATCGTGCCCCGATGGCCATACGCAGCACACCGCTGGTCTAAGCGTCCCGAGCGTGGACCCATGATCACGCCAGCGACCCAACGTGGCCCAGACCCAGTGTACACTCAGGAGCAGCAGCAGCCTTGGGCGCCAGGCCACACGCGCCGGGACACTATTTCGCTGCCCGTCATGCAGCAGGAGTACTTCCAGTCGTTGCCCGTCAGCGTTTCCGAATATCGTCCGCCGGGCACGCCAGTTACCCGGATCCTACACACGTGCCTGTACATCCGGGTCCCGGTCCGAATGTGCGATATCGCGAGACGGCGACGTCAAGTGCATGGTGGTGCATCGGGGCGCGAGGACACATGACATTGAGACGGACTACTCGCCTGCGGAGGAGAACGGATGGGGCGATCGAGGATTGGGGTCGTTCTCTGTAAGCTTGCCGCCGTTCTCTGTTACGGAGCTGACGGCGATGGTGAACAGCAAGCTGGGCGTCAGGCAACGCCTTCGCCGACGATGTCAACCCATGCCTCTCCGCTGCAAGTAAAGATGGACATCCCAGCGCAGTTCTCTATCTCCAACTTCTCTTCTCTATCTGGCTGGGCTGCCCACATCAGGACCAGCACCGCTCCGGGCAGCTGCTCCTGCCTCCAGCTGGAATGCATTCAGCGGATACGTCTTTCCTCCAAGGACGCCTCTGCATCCTCACAACCGATGATTATCATACGGGATCAGACGGGGGCACCACTAGCTGCTCTCGTCTTTTCTTTTGACGACTGACTGACTTTACGACCTTTTCACGATCATAGACACTGTAACTGGAACTTCTCGTTTCTCATCCTACATCCTCTGAATTTTCGACTTATCACACCCACTGGAACCATCCTTCGACTTATACTGTACATATCTTATGTAGCTGCGTGTCCCCAAGTCGCTGTATCTATTCTCCTGTTTGTATTCTTTTCCCGCTCATTCACGTATAACTCGATCGATCTTATTCAATTACATATCAGAATGATAAAACTAGGCTCTGAATTTATGGCTTTCCGCCATCATATATCGAATTTGTGGGTATCTGATATTTGTACGAGTCTGGGACGAGGACAGGTTTCAACCTATGACAGCCTCTGAGTCTTCTCCTGTGGCACATCGTCGAATTTCTATCTGTAATTTATCGCCCGACCGGGAAATATCTCGGACCTCCGCTGGCATGTAGATAAATGTTTTCTTCCATGACAAGTACACTTGGAGAGATCTCATCGCGAACAAGTAGGCCGGTCCTAAAATTCTGAGATATTCGACTCTGAGATCTGAAATTCGCACCGATTCGCCGCACTGACACAAGAAGACAAGCTGAGCATTCAAACAAGACCGCTTCATCACTTTCTCATCTTCAACTCCGTTGGCATACACGAGTCTGTCGCACCACCCCTCAGGAATGAGTCTGTTCCGTCGCACAAACTCCGCCCGGGAAACAATCGCACACGAGGCGTGGCTACAGCCTTCAAGCCCGTGCCTTTGACTTCCTGCTCCCACGAGCAGACTTGGATCGTCTTT